CAAGGATATCAAGTTTCAAAGAAATTATGCTCTTAAGTTATCAAGATTGTGAGACTTTAGTTGAGAACAAATTTCAAGATCCTTGTCTTAGAGAACTGTTCAATATTATGCTAGATTCAAAATTCTAAGAGAAATATTTTACATTGGCTTAGAATATTTATTAACAAAAATTATGTGTCAACGTACAATCAAATTCCTGATTATTTCCCGGATGCTTTTGTTTCAAAATGGCATGTAGGATATTGTTCAATAAATCATAGAACGAAAACAGCTCATGCGAAGTAACGTCTAAGACAAAGCTGTAGGCAACTAGATTGCGTTAACAAACAAAAAATACACTGAAAAAAAAACTAACTATTTAAATCTTCAATCAAATAAGGATTGCAACGATTTTTGCCTGAAATTATTCAATTATTTTGTTGGACATTTGTTCTAAAGTCTCAACATTCGAAATTCTATGTACCTCGGCAGTGCTGTACCAGGGAGGCAACTTCAAAATCATCTTAAATATTAAAAGTATATTCGTCAGGCAAAGTTTGGATTTCCTGTTTATAAGAGGATACAAACATTTTATATATTTGTTACATTTGGCTTGAATGCCCTCGTGTGATCTTCAAAAGTTAATTTGGTTTGACCAGGAAATTGGAATTCCGTTCATAGTGACTATATGACTACTACTAGGTTTCAAAAAGGAAGCTCTACGCTTATGTGGAAATATTATAAGTTGCGTTTTGGAAGCGTTGGGAGAAACCTTCCATTTTTGTAAATAAGAAAAGAAAAGATCTAAACTTTTCTGCAGTCTGCTGCAAATAACACGAAGACTTCTTCATTTAGCAGAAATGCCTGTGTCATCGGCGAACAAAGATTTGTGGCAACCCTGAGGCAAATCAGGGAGGTTCGAAGTTAAAATGTTATTCAATTTAGGCTACCCTGAGGAACTCCTGCTCTAATAGGTAGCCGCTCAGATTTGGAATTTTGATAATTTACCTGCAGTTAAATAATTTTGAACTTATTTCATAATAAAGAGTGGAAAATTAAAACGTTTTTTTTTTTCAATTTAGCAATCAAACCTTCATGCCAAACACTGTCGAATGCTTTTTTCTATATCTAGAAGAGCAACTCCAGTTGCGCAGCCTTCAGATTTGTTTGAACGAAATAAATTTGTAACTCCCAAGATTTGATGAGTAGTTGAATGCCCATGGCGAAATCCAAACTGCTCATCTACAAAAATTAAGTTCGTATTGATGTGAATGATCATTCCATTCCAAATTATCTTTTCATCCATTGATCAGGAAAGTATGCCAAATGTAAACATCTGTTAAATGGTTTTACCAAGAAGGACAAGGTACTCTCTGGAAGCTTTTGATAAGGATATAGAAAATTCCATCATCACCTGGAGCTTTCACATAATGAAACTTTTAAGTTATAGATCTTACTTCATCCAAATCAGTCCCCCAGGAATCATCAAAAATATTTTCCAGAGAGAAAATATTCAGATGATCCCGAGCAACCGGATTCTCAATAGGACTAATAAGACCCAAACTGAAATTATGGGAACTCTCTAATTGTTTAATTAGTTTCTGAGCATTTTACGAATTTATCAAAATTTTACCATCTTCTTTAAGCCCTGGAATAGGCTTTTGAGGATTTTTCAAAATTTTAAAAGTTAAATAGCTCGCCTTCATTATCTTCAAGAGATAGAGCATTCCAATTCAAAATATTTAATGATTTTAAATCCGCTACTGAATTTCAAAGTCATGACGACATTGTTCGCAAATTTTACTCCAGTTTGAATAGCATCATACATGGAGTTAGTTTTTAGCATATCAGTAATCATGTCAAATAATGATGTCTGTAAAAAATCCATTTGAGGAGCAGTAATGCTTCCTAGATCAAAATTTTCGTAAAAATTATGTTGACTAGTATTTTGATTTCTACCGCTGCAATAGCAGCATAGGTAGCTCCATTTACTCGCTGAACATTATTAGCAGCGAGGGGAGCAGGTATATATGAAGAATTTGAAGCAGGGGTGATATTTGTACCTAAGGGTAGGAATATAGAATTTGTTCCTCGCTGACTGCTGTTAACAGCAGAGTAATTTGTACCTGTTCGGAAACGTGGAGCGTTTCCTACATTGTCCCTTAGAACGAGATTGTATGATCGCTTTGCGAGTCTTACGTTCCCAAAAATTGGATTTGTGGTTTTCACCACAATTTGAACATTTAAATTTCATAGGATCTTCCTTCACAGGACAGTCGTCCTTTGCGTGAGCTGGCATGTAGCGTTTTTTTCATTCCGTGACCCCATCCCTGACACTTACGGCACTGGGTGAGGTTCCAGTCTTCCTGAAGCGCTCCCACTTCACTAGACTTGAAGTGAACTAAATAAAAATCATTAGAAATCCCATTGCGCGAATCTCCAGGACGGGATTATTTTTTTTTCATTTTGATTTCTTTCACTGTCACAACTCCAAGTTTTTGCCAGTTCATCTTTGATTTGATCCAGGGATTCACCACTGGGCAGACCTTTCATGACAACCTTGAACACACATTCAGTTTTGGTGTCGTAAGTCAAACAAATATTCTGCTTCTCAATGAGAAGAAGTTTGAATCCGTCTAAGGTTTCAGCCAATACACGGCATTCACCCCGACGGCCTATTTGCAGTGAAAACTTAAGTTTCACGAAGTTCACAAGTTCCGTGCGAATAGTATGGAAATCAGAAGAGGTTATCACAATAGGGGGAATCTTTTCTTTCTTGGCATTAAGCCGGGAAAGTTTGCTATATTTTTTCCTGGATGATGGATCATTCTCATCATCCGTGAGAAATCAAATTGATTGCTCAAATTAATTTCATCAGAAGGGGGATCAAGAGTTTGCCCTTTTCTTTTGCGCTTAGGCGCCATGGCGGCATCCAAATCGACTTCTAAGCAGATTACTATAAGAATATGAAGGATTGAAGAAGAATTTTCCAAATCGATATCCAAGCAGGATTACCTCGTATAGGGTCTAAACAAGGATCAAAGAGGAATAAGAGTCGAACAAGGTAGAAATTTTACAGGTTGAGCACTGAAAAGTGCTGTTTAAATTTGTTGTTCTATACATGGAATGAGATTAATCACAAATGCTTGGAGTTGTGAAATATTTTAATTTGTTCATCTAAGGTTGAACTTTTACCCACCTTAGTATATACCTATAAGATTTTCTAGGTTCTTAAAATTGTCTTTGAGTTCACATCAAAAGATCAGCCACAATTTGATGTGAACTTCAGCACGATTTATTTGGCAAAATGATGACATGCTTCGTTACTAAGAACATTGTTCGAGTCCTGGCTGATGTTGTAGCATAGAACATCGCATACATGGAAACGGGTCGATCACAATTCAGATTCATAGCAGATTCCAAATACCGAAGCTCTAAGAGAGGGTGGTTGAAAGAACGAAGTCTTTTGAAGTCTATTGTCATATCTAAAATCGACAATCGATTGAATAAAAAAAAAACCTGATCAACAACATCAACAAGCAAGCAAGCAATCTGGTAACGCTATAATTATTCCGATTGACTTTACACACAACCGTCGTCCGTCGGAGGTTGCTATCACTCCATTACCGTCCCAACCGAAATCACCGAACCTATCGGGCAAAGAATGAAAAGCGCACATTGAACGTGAAAAGCCACGGTTGCGGAACCGAGTCGAACCAGACGGGCAAGTTTTCCGGCCCCGGGGTCGTCGCCATCTACTGTTTGTTACCCCAGTATGAAAAGGAATTGTGGAGGTTCTATGATTTGATAGGAACCACACAAGGCAACGATGATGGTGGATGGATGCTGCTGCTGCTTGCTTTGCTTTCTGTATGTGTCTGGGACTACAACAACAAAATAAATTATTTTCGTATGATTGAAAAAAAACTCCCGGTCCCAAGGGCCGCAATGTTCGATCCTCGCGTAAAGAACCGACATCAAAACAAAATATTGACGATGGTGCTCCACGCTAGGGGGGACACGGAACTGGTGAATTTGTGTTTTCGTATAGGGGAACCACTCCCCCAAGGATAGTGTTTGCCCGAAACAGAAACGAGCTTCCAGATGGAGCGAAATGAATTTATTTACAACGCAACACAACCAACATTGAGAATATAGTTCTTTACCCCAGAACTTTCATCAACAATTCAAGTTTATCGCCTCTGCCGGCACAGATTCCTTGGCGGTGTCGGACGCACGTGCTCGCAGTAATAGGTAAAACTTTTTCCATCATCGTAAATTCACGTCGGTTTGTGACTGCCGTTGCTGCAGCGGTTGTGGTGCGGCGCGTTTAGAATTCCGCGCGCCAAGAATAGGTGGCAAAGCGTGAAGTGGGTGGGTACACGCACCGATGGTTGCTTGCTATATCGAGCTTGCTAGTGCTTGGGACGGTTGAGCAGCAGTAAACACTTCATGTGCAGCGGTGGCTGTCTAACGTGGGGCGTTTTCGCAGTTGTCGACAAAGCGATACTCTGTCGACTTATGTACGTGGGGAATTACGAGTTGATTTCGGCATGAAGTGAATCGAAGTGAGCCGGAACGGATAAGGAAACGGCGTTGAAAGTGTCGAATGTGGTTTTTCCAGGTTTGGATGCGCAACTGTTTGGAAATTTGTATATATTTTGAGACGTACATAAGGTCATTCGTCGTCACGTGGGGAAAGCGTCTCAACTTACCTAAGTAACATCACACTTGACAGCTTCCTTGTTCCCTTCCGAACGGTTCATTGAAGATCAATAGAGCATTAATAATGTAGGACGACGAAGAAAGTCAATGGGCTAAACTTCTCTTTATAAAAAGGGCATTCATTTCTGCTTTACCTATCCCTTCCTACCGGATCGTTAGTCACCTATGTTGCGGACAAAAAACACCCAACATAGAACAGGGATAAAAAAAGAGTTAACCATCTCGAATTTTACTGGGGGTGTATCCGATGGGTGACCATTATGGGAAAAAAACAGTAAAACAAATTTCGTACTCACCTCTTCAGGAACTTTCTCGCACTCGCCGTTCACCTTATCCTCACCTTCCTTGTCCTTCTTGACGGGCTTCTGTTTGTCCTTCTTGCTGAACGAGATACTTCGGAAGGACCATTTCTTTTTGACCTTTTTCGGCTTTTTATTGCTGTCCTCTGCGGACTTACTGTCGTTTAGCGTTTCGTCGGCACTGCCGTTTTCCTGTGTCTTGTTGGCTGCGTCCGAATCGGACTCGGCTTTTTCTGTGATCGGGGAACTGGCACTGGCGACACTGGCATCACCTGCACCCCCAGCAGTGGTGCTCTCTTTTTCTGTGCTGGAGTCTTTCTCGTTTTCGGCGGCATCCGTTTCGACCTTCTTCTCCTATTTTGGGGAGTCGGCGAGCACAGGAAACACGCGACAGGATGGAGAAAAATGACAATGTCGTTCCCAATGGGTTACCAACATGGATTGGTATTAGTGTTGTGGTGCCCGATGAGTGTAATTTGTTTGGAAAGGTAAAAAAGGGAAAGACAAAAACAATTTGATTAGTGAGATGGTTGGTAAATTTTGACTGGTGGTTATGTTCATCCGAGTTCAATTGTAAATTATGATCAGATTATCGTTTCCTGATTTGGGATGATATGAGCCAGAGAGGAGTTATTCCTGAACGGAACGGATGTGTCACTCCGACGGTGTATGACTGAAATGTTAATGAACGCGAACGACAAACACAATCAACAGATAAAACAGACAACTGAGCCTACGAGCGAGCGAGTGTGAGTGAGCCTACGTTTCAAATCGAATCGATGATGAAATGCAAACGCCTGAAAGTATACCTTTCAACAGACACAGTGGGGAGCTCGAAAGCTCCAACTGCACCCACCACCCATTTAGCTGCGCCCCGCACATTGCAGCGACTGTCTTCTACCCATCCCAACACATTTCTCAGTCCTCTCTGCTTGCGATGAATCATAAATAACGGGTTGATTATAAACACAAGAATTATTTTCGAATCTAATAATAATATTAAAATTTATGCAGCGTTTAAGTGTTCAGCGCCACGCTTAACTGCAGGAAATTGTTTCGCTGATGCATTGCACGTGTTGACGATATGTTGACAAGATGCACTTCCATTCAAGAGTGTATTTACTATAAATGTTGACCAGGCAACTTTCTGTTGCGCATTTGTTGAACTGCGCTGCGATAAGATTAGATCTGTCGATAATGACACGAGTTTATGATACTTTTATCACAAACAGAACATGTCAGGTTAATTGGAAGATTGTGTTTCTCGGGAGAGAGGGTGGTGGTCTTCCTAACATACATTTTGGTTGTTACATCTTGTTGATTGTGGAACTTATGAGAATTTTCATGATAGTCTTGAAGATAATCCCGAAGGAATTTTGAGACGCATTGGATAGAAACAGCAGGGTTACCAAAAGGAAATCTGTGTTTTTGTCCAAAAAATCTTTTCATCTTAGTTTTTGTCCGGAAAATCTGTGATGATATCTGTGTTGATAATTTATTAATTGAATCCTTTAAAAATGTCATTTGAAAAGTGATTGAGCCATTTTTATTATAAAAGCAAAAAATAGATAAAAAAAAATATATGTTCGTAAATTACTTATAGCTTGACAAAAAAAAAAGAATACCTCTGACAGTTCTCATTATCCTTTTCTAACCACAAATTGCATGTATAGATATAAAAAGTTGATGATGATAAAATTTCACTAAAGTGAAAAAATGTTTTGCTTTTAAACATCTCAAGTTTAATTTTTTTTATGTTTGATCATATTTTAAAAATCTGTGTAATCTGTTTAAATTCTAAAAATCTGTTATCTGTGAATACAGAATCTTGGTTTTAAAAAATCTGAAAAATCTGTAGAAATACAGATTTATCAATAGTTTTGGTAACCCTGACAGCCAGTAGAATATCAATGTCCACCAGCTAAAGCTCCTCCCCTTTTTAGTTTTTCTCCTTAAACTCCTTCTCTCAACAAGTTGGTAAATCTTAACCTTTAGCAGAAAGACGCTTAACACTTTTTTCGACGAATTTATGATCCTGTTTCACGTCATGGTTCTTCTCTATGCCTGTTCAGATAAATAAGTACTTTTATTTATTTTCTCTACTGCACTTAATTAATCGCGCTCGAATAATTGAAAATTCGACTAATATTTAATCGAATAGCTGGAAAAATCTCTACGATGAATTGTTAATCGAATAATTGAACTTTTAGGCATCCATAGAAAATAGTGTAATTTCATGTTTTTGGTGGTCCTTCGGAAATGTCGAACAAGTGTAACCAAGAACCAAAAGCGGTGCGATGCTAGTTTTCATTACTATGACGACGACTTTAGGGGCTTAGAAGCAGAGGTGTGAAAGTCAATTCTCTTCATCGATTTTCTCTTTTGATGATCATGGCTTCACTAACCTATTTCGCACTATTTCTGCTATGCTCTTTTATCATCCAGAACAACAAACGTTTCAATGAATGTGCTTGCCGTTGAGTTATTAACGAAACAGAAAGTCGATGCAGAGAATCGATCAAAATCACTTGCACCACTTCTTCCAAGTTTGGTTACAAGATTACAACTCTTGGGAGCATTGTGTGTGTTCGTTGGGGGCTTGTGATTCTGAATATAGAGATGAGTGTGCAAAATTTAACGCAATTAAATCCTCATTATTCACACACTTCGACTTGTTTCGTTTACTAACGACTCTCTGATGACTGTGTTGGGGAAGCAGCATATGCATGTACGTAATTGGTGGATTTGTTAGTTATTTCTACGCTTTTGGACAATGCTTGACATTTACCACTTTTTCAATAGTTTCTTGTTGAAAATCAACAGTCGAAAGCATTGCTATCGATGCGTAGAAATATTTCTGATCGATTGGTGATACAATTATTGAAATTGGTTCTGGGGCAGTTGAGTTATTAACGTTCAAAATCTGTCATAATTTAGTTACATGTTCCTTTTAAGGTTTTCAAAAAGTGTACCTCCATATAGAAATCACAGACGTAGTCCTACGTCAAAAAGTCGCACTTTATTAGATTTTATTTCAACAAGCAGCATCTTTTATTTCTGTTAGCAACTTCTTCCTTTTTTTTTGGTAAATATTGGAAAAATTTCTCTGAAAATTGTTGACATCTCATTGATTAGACTACCAAGCATTCGTCAACTAGATGGGAAATCTAAAAATAGCTCAAATCCAAATTGCAACAGCGCCAATAATTTGAACATTCACGCCACCGAGTTTGCGCTATATTCTTCCCCAAATTCACACCAGTGGACATCCAAACAGTTCCGAAAATATAGCGCTGAAAGTCTGCTAAGTGAGTGTTAATTCGAAATGCATTTTGGTAACCATAACTCCCACAGTCATAAAGGAAACAGTAAATACAAACCACTCTACGCTCTCGGCCTACCGAAACCTTTACCCTCGTTCTCACTTCACATCCATCCGATTTACTATTGTCCATTGGCCAGCAGCGGGGCGGTAATCATTTTTCTTTTTCCTACATTTTATTACCTCTCACCTGAACGCCCCCTATCATTAGTAAGTCGTTTTTCAGTTATTTGCTTCAATCGCTCTCTTCTCAAGATCCCCCCGATCATTTATTTCGTTTTCCCTTGCTTATGCCAGCACACTATCGCCCATCAAAGTTGAGTTATTAAACGGATGTTTATAATTTTCTACTCGATTCAGTGATTTAAAGAAATTTTCACCTCTACAGTCTTACGCCCGTCCGCGGCTAGCGGCGACCATGGCTGGGTTAAATTCTGGATCCGTCCCAAAGAAGATATGTTATTTTTCCTGCCTCACTTCTCCCTGCGTGTGGTTTTCATTTCAAATCAAAACAATCACGTCCACCACGACGACGACGACGACGGCCAGCTAGCCTGATATGATCGTAATTTATAGGAGAAACAGCGACGCGGAACGAAACGGTAAGGCACGACATGGGAACTGCCAAGTTGCGGTCAAGTTTGAATTGGATGGCTTTGTGAGTGTACTGCTGGATATGAAGATCTCATCATCATCATCATCATCTTCTTCCCCATCATCAACCCCAACTTCAGCCGTGCATTTAACGCACGCAAGACGTACTCGGGGCTTTCCGCGGATTGTTGTTATTGTTGGCGTATAGAACACACTTTGAATAATTACATTTATAACTGTTTCAATTCGAGAAATAATTACTTTCCTCGTTCACTCGTTTGAGCGAGCGTTCGTTTTGAGAGAAAGAAAAGAAAGAAAGGCGATGTACGATGCTCTAGTGATGTGATGATAGGAAGGAAAACAAGAAAGATCTTAGTGCGGTACCGTCTCTCTGCGAGGAGCTGTGGCAAAAGGTTGAATGGTCGCGGGAATCGTCGGGTCGCCGTGTTACTTTTTTTATATTAAGTACATTCACACGTTCACAGAATGACCGGGAATCTTCGTACAGTCGGTTTTAAGCGTGGTGATGCCCCATCAAATCTAGTTTATCGGTGAATGGGGGGGTATTTTTGTGGTTCGAGAATAAGAAAATGTTGCACACTGCCACTCATGGCAAGTCCGTCCCATAGCACAAATCAGCAAACCGAGAAAATGTGTTTAAAGTTTACTTCTAACCATTGGTTTTTATGTCATGGGACAACCCGTTTTGCTATTTTTCCAAACTTTTCCAGAACAAAATTAAAAAGAAATTCTGAGACTTCGAACAGTTTTTAAGATGTCAAGCTGACAAAAAAAAACCCCCCCGTTGTAATAAAACTCTACAAAGGGGCGAAGTCTGATTCGCATTCGCACGACCCCATTATAAGTCTGATAGGTAGAACCGCTCATGCCTTTGAAAAAGTTTCGAGACTCCAAAGTGCCTTACTCTTATGCTCTTGTTTATGATTCTCTATCCCGGACTAAGAAAACCTTAGTTGTTAAGGGGATGTTCATAAACTACGTAGGCTCGTCCATACAAAAATTAGGATTTTTTTTATGGATCGTAGACAATCGCTAAACCTCCCTCACCACTTGAAAGTGTATACGTGGCTTATGTACGGCCCATTTGATACCCTACCTTAGCGTGAAACTTCAAGAGCACAAATGTAAGCATCCACAAAATATATAAATATGGAATTGCTGCGCTACAACAAACAGAAATTAAGCGTTTCAACTTTCAAAAAAAAAAACAAATCGGTTTGCATATCCAGGTTAAGCAAAGTAAATAAAACATAGGAAAAAGGTACATATAGCGAACAGGTTAACATAATTCGATTAAAATATACTGTGCGATACATTCGTTTAGCCGCACTTCAAAAATATAGCCGTCCGGTTCTTATTTCAGTGCAAAAAATCATATTACGTATACATGTGATAGTGAGATGCTCAACCATGTTCA